TCTGTGTGCAGGGAGACTGGAGCTACAAAGCTGAGGTGCAGAGGCATTCATTTTTAAAGTCTTGGTTCAGCCTACAGCAGACAGGGGCTAGTTCAGAGGTCTAATTCCCTTGCATCCAATCCATCCTTGCATTCAGACGTTGGTTTGGGGCCACACTATGCAAAAGGGAGGAAACAAATTCTGTGCTCAAGGACAGAAGTGAGCAGAGATGGCAGCCCCAAGAGTTGATACACCACATATACCATGTTGAACTCCCCCTTCCCCAAACAGCCTTGCCCAAGTTGGTATTCAGTATAATTTACAGGAATATGACACTGTATCAGCTGCTGGAAAAGAGAGGAATGAAAGCAACAGAGAGCTGAGCCTTGGTCCAACCCTGTGGACCTCAGGACAGAAGAGCAGCAACTCTCAGCACCAACTCATCCCTCAGGTCTCTTGCTGCCTGATGGCATCCCTAACGCAGAGTCAGACTCCTGAGGGATGTGTGTACCCAGGAAAGGTGCTGATGAAAGCTGAACACTGCATGGGGAGACACACTGCCAACCAGTAGGAAATGCCGAGGAAAGGGCTGTAACATAAACCTCTGCATCCCCAGAGCACTCTCAAGTATCAGAGGCAAGTGCCCAAGAGAGCTGAATGGTGCCACTAGGACCTGGCTGCTGGTTTCTGCCGGGGTAGGATATGTGGGGAGCACTCCTGTGAGCCAGCCCTCACCGCTAAGGAACATTTACTGATTTTATGCCACATGCAGCAATTTGCACGGGGGGCAGAACACAAAGATGTTAGTCCCCTTGCTGAACCTCCAGGTCTTTGTAATATTCTGCTTCTGGAGGCGTTCAAATCCTTTCTCACCAAGGGTGAATGCAAAATTTGCATCTTCCATAGTGCAACCCAATTCCCTGCTCCCTGGGGTAAAACGGCAGCTCAGGCACGCCTCCGCAGCCTCGCTTTGCTGCCAGGCGGGCTCAGCTGCTATCGTAGCTATTTTGAATATCCCTTGAGTTCAGGCACTGCTGCAGAGCAGGGGCTGTCACACCACAGTATCTCTACGATCCTGAGGGGCAGGGAACCCCCTCATCCTGCCCGCTGTCAGTTCCCATCCAGCACCTCCTCTCCCTGAAAACAAGCCCAGCCTCCCCCCGCCAGCTCAGGTCACAAATTCAAGTCAGAGATAACTCAACGGGAGACAAAACCCGAAATAAAACAACAAACAAGAGATTTGCCCCTCCACAAGACTCTGCCTCCGGTTTTCTACCTCGGACGCCCCGTTGCAGTGGCTAAGCCCACCAAAGCTGCATTGCAGAAGCCTTTGAGCGCAGGGATGAAGGCAGACGCGCTGGCTCCGCTGCCGGCTGTGCCCGGGGCATCCCGAGTGCAGCACTCCGGGGCTGACCCTGCTGCGCAAGTCCTGGAGGGTACCGCAGAGCAGCTGGAGGAGGAGGAGGCTTTTCCTGTGGCTACCTTGTGGGTCGCAAGGTTGTTGGTTAGGTGCCGAGCTCTGGAAGGTGCAGAGGGTGTTAAACCCCACACTGTACATAATGAAGCTCCTGAAAAACTGTCCCTATAATTAGCTGTGTACACAGTGAACGCGGTCACCAGGGACACTGCTTTTGCTCCCAGGCTTGTTTGCAGAACCAGAGTCTCATTCATGTCCTGTTTTGTTTCCCTCCAGCACTGAGGAAGAGCACGTCGCTGTGCCTAATTCCTGCAGCTGTTGTGTCCCCACAGGGCCAAGACACAAACCTCAGACACCCATGCAGCAGGCCCGCTCCCCCCACACTGTTTGGTCTGGACCACAGAGGTGCGTGACACTGGAAACATCTACGACACCAAGGCTCCTCGCAGATGTCTCCGCAGAAGACCTTCCCACTTTACCTTACTGCAGACAAAGCAGTACAACCCTTCCTAGGGAGGAATGAGCTATAGCCATAAAAAGGACCAATTTTCCCATCGAGGGAAAGCAAGCAGGGCTCTTGCTAGGAGATACAGCCCTGCATGTTCTAGGACTGGTATAAAACCAGTAGTCTAAAACCATCACACACCACGGACATGGGGATGGACACAAAAGGCAGGTGTGAGTTTGCTTTGTCGGGGCTCTGGGCCAGTGTGAGGTGAGCCATCTCTGATCCTCAAAGCTGTAGTTTGTGACAGAGTCTGGGATGAGACCCTGTGGCTTCCCAGTGCTTCCAAGGGGCTGAGCCCTGTGCTCACACCCTCACACGGCCCTAGGGTCAGAGACAACTGACCCTCCCTCCACCACGTCCCTTTACAGGGCACACGCAGGCCTGGCAAGCCTCCTGCATTGCACAGGGAATTCCAACACCAAAGTTGAGACTTCATTCATGGTCTTCCAGTCCAGCACCGCAACCTCTGCCCACACACAGGGGCTGAGCCACCAGCCAAAAGCGGTGAGACATTCTGACACCTTAGTAGACCCTTCCCATCTCTTTGGGGCTCAACCTCCTGCTCTCAGCATCTTTCCTGTACTTCTGCAGCCCTTCTTCAATGCACAAAAGCCAAAAAAGCACCCAGCAGGATTCAGGCATATATATTGCAACTAGACACACAGTCTTTCAACAGATCATCTGGTGCAGACAGTTCTCTTCCCTGGTCCTACCACAGGTGAGGGCATGCTTTGCTCTGCTCACCAACAGCTTCTCCTGGGTAAGCTCACTGAGCCGGAGAGGGGCTGCAGCGCAGCCACATGATGCTACCAGGCGAGGCCCCCCATGCCAAGGAGTGCCGCCAAGAAGCAGTCTTCACTTGCAGCTCCAGGACTAGCGTGTAAATCCAATGCACCAAACACAGTGGCAAGTACGTGACCCACCCTGAATAGTCTCACCCTTCAGAGAAAAAGATACTTAAGAGGTCTGCAGAGATGGCTCACTCCAGCTGTTATACAAATGCTATACCCATGGGCCAAACCTTATGACTTTGTAGGCACCAGCTGATGACAGTGACATCTCCACTTCTGGGACCACATGCTAGTGGCAGAAGATCACTGTGAAATGGCAGCTCAGGAGAGAGGACACCTGAGTAAAACAGTTTTATGGGCTGAGGGCAGGTGCCTCCACTTTCACCTAAAGAAAGAAATATGTAATACTCCAAACTAACCTCTCCCTTGACATCTTCAGTGTTACTATCTAGCTGTGTCCAGAAGCAATACCACACGTTCTCATAGACCACATGCAAACCGAAGGTTAGGGAGCACTCAGCTGTGACAGTGGGAGAACTAAACAGCCAGAGATGGTTTGCCTCCCTCTACTCCCCTCCCCTTGTTCCTGCTCTCTTCTGAACTGACTTATTTAGGAAACAATTCTTGGCTATTGTGTTGACCATGGAGCTTCTGAGACCCCATATTGCCCACTGCCCTGCCTTTTAGGGGAGAGCTCCCTGTGCAAGGAGGCAGTTTCCTGGCCTTGCCAACATAAGGCACAATCCTGAATACTGTTTTGATCATATCACTCTTCCTTGGAAATGTGCAGCAATTTTTATTTCCCATACCAACTATTACAGCATTGGGCTTGCTTTAGGTAAGCAGAGGAGACGGGAGGGTAGAGCACTAAAGGAGATAAGTCCAGCTGCATGGGAGACAGAGCCTTAGGGAGATGAAAGACATCAGCTTGATCCACGTCAAAGAGGCAAGAGCTAACAGAGGGCTGGCACCTGCCTCTCTATTGTACTGAGAGCTTCCCCGCTGTGGCCCTCATCATGGTGGCTGGCAGTTCCTTTGCATCCCTTCCATCTCCTGACTTCTCCTTCTGTGGTGGGGACCTCTCTTTGCCCCACCTGCAAAAACAACTTCTTTCTTTTCTTCACAAACAACTTCTTTCCAGTTCTTCACCTTGGGCTAATCTCTGGGAAAGGGTTGAGGTTTCTCAGCTCTATGCCTCCTAGGCTCCCTGTCCCAAGCCAATTCTCTCAAGCTCTGAGAGACAATGCAGTCACTGTTTGACAGGAGTATCCATACTTCATGCTGAAGGATGCTGAGCCAAGTATGAGGCAAGCCTACTGCATGTATCTAGTACAGCAGAACAGGAATGGCTCATACACCTTGCCTGCAAAGACCCCATCCCCTGTATGCCAGCACCAGGACCTCCGAGGGATGTCTGAGGTCAATAGACAGACATTAGCCTTTCCCTCTAATGCAGTGCGGAGATATCCCTTATCTTGCAATGCAACTTTCTACTGCCCTTCTGCCACAGCTCCCATTCCTCTTAGCCACAGACTACATTTTAGGGTTATTTATTTTTGCTGCATCAGCTCAGACCTGCTGTACCCAGCGCTGTTCTGATCCCAAACTTTCACAGAAATCTCTCATCCTGGTGGAAATATCGGTTGATGATGGGTCCAGTTCCATGGGGAATGATTCTTAGCAACCAATCTGACTGGTTAGGCATTGCAAGCCTGGTTAAATTTAGAGAAAGGAGATTTTTGAGCTTACTCACTCAGAAATACACAGACTTTGTCCTTAAGTGAAAGACATGGGGAGTGGAAAATCACACATTTGCATAAAAATTCAGGCTATTCACTTTCTGCTTTATTTAGTAAAATAAATGGAAAAGTTCATGTGACATCAAGCAACCAATCTGTTCCAAGTGTCAGGAGAGTCTGACAGTGGATCCCAGCATGGCACCAAAAGCAAAGCAAATGAGGGAAACAGATCTCTCAGAACTACAAGCTTTATCCCTGATATTGCCATTTGGCTGTATTACCCTTTGCTCCAACAGAGGTGGCATGGAAAGACACAGTGTAAGGCAGTACCAGAGCTCCTGGAGTACTGAGAAAAGAGAGCTGGAGCCAACAAATGAAAAGGGAGAAGAGATTCCTAGAGAGGACAGACAGCATATATGTACATAGCATGGAGATAGGAATCCTTCACTGACTTGGCCCCTTAATCCTACTATCGCAGAAATTCCTGAGCTGCGGGGCTCAGTGAAGTCTTCATACACCAGAAACAGATGACTCTGAGCACAGTCATCCTGTTGGCTGAGAAAGTATCAAAGTTCCTCATTGAGGGCCTTCTCCTCAGGTTCATCTTCTTTCTAAAACACATTAGAGGCATGAAATCAATTTTGATGTTGCTCGGTTTCTCAGCATAGAAACAAACCAATTTAAATTCCTCCCTCTGCTGTCTATGCCACTGCCCTGCCCATCCCATTTCAATTGCACAACACAGGATCCTGACACACAAAGCCTCTGTGCTATAGGAAGATGAGCTTTGACACAGAGAGAACTCTTAACACTGAATGAACATGGAGATTAAATTGTCCCTCTCCCAGCAGAGACCTCTGGTAGAGTCCTGAGCCTTTGTCTGTATACTCAGTTCTGTGGCCTTCTTGATAGATTTCCTTCCTATTCATGCCACTGTCTCTCTGAACCTCTCTCAGGTGCTGCCATCCACCACCCCCATTCTCAGTGTCCAAAAGCACCCTTCACTCTGTCTCCCCAGCTGCTGCTCCCAGAAAAGAGATGCTTCACTGAGGCCTTTATACAGTTGGAATGGTCAGTAAAGTCTTCTTGCTGTAGAATAGAAGGCAGAGGTCAATGAAGAAAGAGATTGTACAAAGACATCCATCTCTGCTCTGCTCTAGATCTAATGCTTTTCCAATATTCAGGTGCAAATGAAAATGAAAGAAGAGGTGGCAGGGATGGAGAGGAGTTCAAGGAACTGAAGTAATCTTCCAGAGCCTTGTGAGAAACAGCATTGTCCTACAAGATCCCAGCTTCCTGTAGACTGTACAGGAGTTCCCCTTTACCTTCTGCATTCTTTGTAAGAAACGATTACAGAAGTCCTGTACATGGTCAACAGAGACTTCATCCAGAGTCAATACATCCTGCTCCTCATCTGGTGCATGGAATATAGCCAGAGCTGGTAGCTGGGACTTCTTCAGTTTGAAGAATGACACTATTCGTTCATTGCTCTTCAAATTGCTGTCCACCAGGATAAAGAGAATCTGTAATGGAAATAGGAGAGGAAATGTGAGCAAAACAGAAACTGAGAGAACAGATCCGCAAACAGTGATCATATACAGATTAACAGTGATATCTTTATAAAGACTTAGAGAAAACCTACCGTACCCTTAGGTAGTGTTAGGACAGTTAGAAAGTGTTAGGATAACACTTTCCTCTGCCACTATCTAACTGTTCCATGCAGTGCATTTTTCTGTATTTTATCAAGTCCAGACTTACACTATCAAGCAAAATATCTTGTTTTGCCTTCTTTAAAAATATATCTACTATATGGTAGGAAGGCAGTCTCCACTTCTATTCTCTTAATTGATGAGGAAACAAGAGGTCTTTTACCTTAGTGGCACATGTAAAAGAAGCTGACTACTCTACTTGCATGTTATTTGGAGAAGATGCTCACATCCATGCAAGACCCAAAGTGGTAGAGTAAAAAGGTGTTTTGGTGTGTGGAGAGTCCAACTCAGTTGCAAGAATGTGGGAATGAAATCTAGGGCAGCAGGAGCCTGCAAGGATAAGAACATGAGAGTACCCAACGCAAAGGACATATTTAAATGAGTTGCAGTGAATAGAAATGAAGATGCAATCATTTAGGAAACAGGAGTTGTTGGCAAGAGATCAATGTCTGTACAGCCCAGCTCAGTGGAGGGTTGTTCAGACCTGGGGAGAGAGGCCCAACAATGAATAAACCAGGATGAGAATGACCTACAGTTTCCTGGGCTCCTAGATAGTCTCGGAGGGCAAGATCAAGCCAAGGATTAGGATTCTGCTGGGATGATTCAATGGTACAGATTTGTCAGAATTGGTGACCAACTCCATGATTTTATTTTAAGAGTAGGTTTCAACTGAGATCTTACAGGTACAATAAGAACTGGTACAAATTTAAAATTTTGGAGTCTGAAAGATTATCAGTAAAATATACAGCTATCTCAAAAACATTTTTTAAATTATCTGGTAATACTAAATGCAAACATTATCTATAAATTTTATAAAAGAAAATAACTACAGCAATTGAACAATTTAATCAGTGACCTGATTAAATAGAATCCCTTGGCAGGTGACATCCAAGTCAATGAAACAAACAACCAGCTAACATGCATCATTTTATCTTCTCTTTATCCTGTGCTGTCTACTGGGCCTAGCACATTCAGTGTACCTATGGACATGGATATGACTTAACTTATACAAGAAAATAAGAGGAGTTGAAAAAAAGTAAAGCAATGTGAAGATGATGTGCCCAGTTCCCAGGCTGTGACTCATGTTTTTCTTTCTTTTCAATCAAGAACACTCAAGTTAGTTTAAAACATTTTTATTCTCTAAAAATAAACTTGGTAAATCTCAAATTCTTTACTTCATTAAATTTATGTTCTATAAAAAAACAAATATATCTGGAAACATTCCTAGGCAACAGCCTATGGGAAGGAGGGGTAGTTAGACTAGTGTAAGGTTTAACTGCAGTCAAACACTGTGATATAGAAACAGGAACACTTTCACTGGATATGTGATATTTACCACTTGCAATTTCTCTTCCAAAAGTCAACTGTGCCCCAAGGGCAACAAGCTAGCGAGCAGACAGGTTGTGGGGAACTTCTCCCAGAGTGCTAAATTCATCCTTCTGCGATGAAACACCAAGCTAGAGAAGGGTCACAAATCAAAGGGTCACAGATCTAAGGACCTGCTTTAAGAGGCTGTCAGCTGGAGCAGCAATACTTCCAACTAGAAAGCTGGAAAGAGAGGCCAATGTGGGAGGGAAGCACTTTCAGAGGCTTGGTACAGGAAATGGTATCACATTTTCACCAGTTAGTTAGTTCATTCACCAGTTTTTGGTTTGCTCTATGAAAGATTCACTAGACAACAATGTTTTTTTAATCAAATGTTAAACATGAAGTTAATAAAAAAAAAAGCATTTAGAATACATAGGTTGTTAAATGTTGTCACTTTCTATACAAAATCTCCTCTACCTTTAAAACAGATGGAGAGCATTTTAAAATGGTAACATAAATAATGGTAAATAAATGTTAGTCAACATTCTTCACTTTATCAAGCTTCCAGCCTTTGTTAAAAATCCCAAAACTAAAAAGCTGTACATATTTTATCCATGAATACAGAGAATAGAATAAGAATAAAACAGTAAAAGGGTTGGGGTTTAGAACTCCAAACACCTTCTTCCTTACAGAAGAAAACAAAAACACAGAAACAACTGGCCCATCAACTAGAAAGGCTGAGATATCATCATTCACAGTTCCTGACTTGGATGTCTCTAATGACTCACATTTGGCTCACAGAGTTACAGGGTACCAAAGTACAGCAAAAGTTTCCCTCCCCTTCTATATTTCAAAAATACAGGAGAGACGGCAATTGCATTTGCCACTCGAAAGAAGACACCTTAATGCCTATCACATGCGTTTTATAATGACTCATCCCTAGTAGATGCTGTGATATGGCATAAATCCTCCTTCAGCAAAAGGTCAGGCCATGCATCCTATGCTGGATGAGCTCCGGGGGTCCTGCCAAGGCCTGTGTGGCCTCAAAGTCACACCTTTGAGGCAGTCTGTAAGGTGTGTTGGTACTGAGGCCATAAGCACTGGAAGTCTGGTCTCCTCAGCAGCTGGAAACCAAACAGGTTTCTCAATGGGGACATATCCATGATGGATGCCACCTGGTGGAACTGTCATTTTCTCACGAGGAATTTATTTTGTTCAGAGATTCCCATCCAGCTCTAATCATAAAGAATGAATGCAGTGACCATGGAAAATTATACTGACCATGAGACAAGATTCACCTTGCCTAACTTCTGCCATCTAGATCTTCGTTGTCTCAGCCAGTCATCTAGGTAATCTCTACAATAAATGGCGACAGGCACTTTATTCCACCTGCTTTAGAAAGAAAGGAAGGACATGCCTATCCTTCTCTACCAGTGCTGAAAAGAGACTAAAGCCTTTGCTCAGACAACTTGCCAAAGCTATAACGCACCAAAACAAATCCCACTTATGATGCCAACTCTCACATCACCACTAGAAACCAGGTAATTCCATCCCAAACAGAAAGTTCATTTTCTATTTCATACTATCCTGTACAATCGCTTTTTTTAATTCTGAAATTATTTCCTTGAAATGGTTTCATTTTGCAGCAATCTTCTTGCCTGTGTTCAGAGCTCTGCCACTACAGGCAGCAAAGGATCTCCTGCATGGATGAGGAACTCCTGACACAAATTATTCCATCCACACATGATATTGTCTGTGCACTGTCACCTGCAATAAGCTCTCTGTCAGAAAATTTTGTACACTGGTGCTATCTTGGTGTCCTGACAACTTGATTCCTAGCCCAGTGCTTTTAGAACATCAAGTTCCTGGTAAATACTAAGATATGAGATGATGCTATTGCCCAAGGAATTAAAGTTAATTGAAAATAGTACTGCAATGGTAGAAAGCAATTTGAGGTTGCTTAGTTTTTCCTCTAACGAAGACAAACAGGAAGGATGACCAAGCCTCATATCCAGTGTTTGACTTTGAACTTCATGGAGCTGCAACCTTCATTCTTTGAGCAGACTGTATAAGCAGAAAGATCAAATTCTGAAGTTTGAGTAATTTCTTATATAGCTTACATAGTACATCAAAGCAAAATGAAAACATCAGTTATGAATTTAAAAAAAAAGCAAGCTATAAAAACAACTTTACTGCAAGTATCTGTTAAGTGACACAGACAATCCATATTTACAGGTTCCCCTGTTTATAGCTAAAAGAGGCATCTCTAAATATTATCTCTCTCAGTTCTGGAGCTATCAGTGTCTGACAACAAAAATAAAAAGTCTATGAATGACTGTCTGCAAGAGAAAGGGCACCGTCCTTTCATTTCCATGGAAGAACTCCTGAAGGACTCTCAGGAGTTTCTCAGAACCCATTTCTAAGTGGGCCTACATATAAATTAAAAGGGACTTTGCAAACATTTCTACCCAAGTCATTCTGACATTGTAAACCAGTTATATCAGTTGCAGTAAAAGCTGCTTTTGTTATTCCCAACATCACCTTATTGAAACTTCTGCAAACACCCATGAGGTACACCAGCTGTAACTGTCATGTTATGCTCTGATACTGTGGAAAGAAAACTGAAGATGCTTATGCTAGTTTGGCTCAGCAACACAAACCCTGACATTTCCTTTCCAGTAGAAAGCCTGGACTCTTGGCAGTATTTTCTCAAATAAGAACATATTTGATTGCAGTGGGATCCTTCCAAGAAGGCTGGTGGATTCACTCCTGCAGCTGCAGTCCTCTGAGCTCTGTCTGTTCACTGTTAACCACCCACAATTGTTTCTCAAAATCTGCTAGAAAAGTACCATATTCCTTCTTATTCTTGTCAGCTCTTGCTGGCTTAGCATCATCTAACATTTGCACTTTCCTTTCCAGCATTTCATAGCCCCCAGGTTCCACAACAAAATCTAGAGGAATCTAGACTGCCTTCAGACACTCACTGCTGCTCAGGGTGCAGTTCAGGCTGTTTTCGAATAGCAGTCCTCGCCATACAGTCTCATGGGTCCTCCTCCTGAAAATATCAGCTTCCTCTCAGGCAAAAATTAAAAGATCGTAAACCAGAGATGAAGGGACCATAATCCAGGAACTGGCAGGTGAATCACTTCCTCATGATTCATTAACAGTTGGACTCAAATGATTTAAGGGTCTTTTCCAACCTAAATGATTCTATGATTCTATGATTTTCTTCACTCTTTGGGGTCAGCCACTCAGCAGCAGCAGTTCCTCTTCATCTCTCCATCAATCCAAGACACAAGTTTCTCTTCTCCCTCCAGCTGGTGACAACAATGACTTCTCAGAGCACAGCAGAGACGTGTGGAAGCATCGATACCCCTTCTTCTGCTTGGGAACCCTCTCTGTTTGTCTTCTGCACTGGCTTGTAGAGAAGTTGCAACACACACTGAGTCTCCCCACCCTGTTCTGGCACTCTGCAATCACTGTAAAGCACTGCTGGACGCAGTGGTACGTGTTCACAAGGAGCCTGAACACCTCTCCACTGCACAGCGATGATTCCTTGCTCGAACCACTGACAGTACTAACCCCGCAGCACAGACAAGCCTTTCACTGCCAGCCCACAGGCTATGAATTATTCACTGGTAATCCTGGATAAAATTAAAGTCAAGAATCTTGCATTTATTCACAGACAATCTGTGAGCCGCAAAAAGACCAAATCAACTCAATACTTTACTTGTTTTGAAGTAAACCTAAGTTAACTAATTCATGTCTTTCTACATTACAGAGCAACGGAGACAAATCTAAGTGGGCATATTGCTCTGCTTACTCCTTAGTCTCCAGATCTACCATACAAACAGCAGGATCCTAGCTCTCTCTTACTGCTTTGTAAAAGGGCAGTCCAAATCACAATTTACTCCTCAGAGTGTCACTCTTTTGGAAAAAACAACTTACTAGACTCCAGGTCCCTTCATCTATGTGTCCTGCAGTACTGCTGAGTAAAGTGGGAATAATTAGTCAAACCTCCACACCTTTAATCTCTCTATTTTACTCTGGCAAACTTTTCCTAGACTGGTAGGAAACTAGCCTGCATGAATAAAAAAAAATTAGATTTGGCTTGCTGGCAATTCATAAATTATCTGGACTTCAGTACAACATTTTATCCAATGCTTTGTGAAGTATTTCTAGGAAAATTATTCATATTTGCTCAAATCTGGGCATGTCACATGAAGAGAAAACTGGCTGCAGCCACATCAGCAAAGGATAGTGATTCTAAACAGCAATGCACTGTGTTAGAAGAACTAGCTGCCTGGGGGAGACCTGTATCAGACTCTGCTGCTCATGAGGACAGTAATAACAGTGTCACTATAACACACATCTCACATGAGATGGCTTGAATCTTTCAGATAAATTAATTTTCTTTTATTGCTATGTATTCATCAAAGCAAAACACTTTTGAAGAGACTTTTTGAATTTGATGCATGGTTTCTGCTTGGTCTCTTGCCGATGAGTGGAACAGATGTCAAGGTCCAAAGTAGTTCTGCCATAAATGAATCTCAAGACTTCTGAGGGTGCACAGTTCTGAGGTGGCCCCTCCATTTGAAGATGAGGATATACTTGATTATTTTAATCTGATCCTTCAGTACCACAAACAGATGCATGCAGATGTTCTTGTCCTTAAACCTCAACTCTTTCCAGTTCCACTCTTTTCCCAGGAAGATCTCTTCCACTGGCTCTCAGCTTAGCCTTGTCTGCTGCTGTGATCCTCTGCCCCCTCCCATCTGCCATTCTCTCTTGCTCCAAATGCCTTCCTGTTGCTCCCAATCCTCCTTTGCTTGGCAGTTTCTTCCTCTGTTCCCCGGACACAAATTCCCCGGTAAACCAGCTGCTGGCAGAAAATCAGCCATGGGAAGATTCACTATCTGGGGAGCTCTGCCCACAGAGGGGTGGGAACCAGGTGAAATTTCTCATAAAGACCCCATCTATCCCATCACCTTAATGTGGGAAATCTGACAAACCCATCTGCAACTCCTTTAAAATAGCTATTTTCCCAGAATCCAACCAGAAGGCTAAGGGTTAAGAAGCACCACAACATTAACAGCTGTCTGGTCACTTATATAATGCTCCTTGGCATCTTGCAGGCTGTATTTACAAAATCACCTCTCATACTAGTGGAATGCAACCATCACCAGGCTGAAGTGCAGCAGCTGTTTGTCATCTCCCAGTGCAAGGGAACAAAACTGGACCAGAAGCGAGGAAGTACATAATGTCCCACTGAGGGAGCAGAGGAGCAGGATATGGAGGATATTTTCCCCGCAAGGAGGCAAACTGGAAAAGGTGAACAGATCCAACCCCTCCACTTAATTATCCAGCTAATCCTGTTTTCCTGCCACTTGTCCTTTGCTCCCCTAATGCACAGAGAAGGAGATTATGCCCTTTCCATCCACAGAAGAAATCACCGTTCTCCCTTTTTTCTCCCCAACGGCTCCCCTTCCTCTCTGTTTGGACTTACCTTCCCCTTGAAGAGCTCTGCTGCTGCCCGGTACCTGCGCATTCGCTCGGGATGCTTTGGGGACATCTTGTCTGTGATCAGGAGGAGGTGAAGCTGGAGCGCACTCTGCATCACACCTATTGCTGTCTGCCAAAAACATGGCCACCACAGACAGAGAGAGAAACACACGCGGACGAGGAGACTGAGAACATTCAATCCGCGTTGGATGCACTGCCAGAGGGGCAGCAACCCTCATGTCTCAGCTGAGATTTCTTTGCAAATCAGCCTCACAAGCAGGACAGCTTTCTTTAAAGCAGGAGGGATCCAATCTGGGTTCTTGTTGGATGTGGAAGCGCTTAAACTCCTGGCTTTGCTTATCACCGAGGCGAGAGTCTGAAGACCGCAAGGGTCCATCCCTCGCCTCAGGGTAGTCAGTGACTAGTCAGGGGGACTGCCTGGGAGTCTAGAGGGGCAAGGAAATGGAGAGGGAAAGCACAAACACTGAACATGAGGGTGCCCTGAATCACTGAGGTCCAGCACCGGGCCAAAATGGGAGCAAGAAAGTGGGAAGGATTTGTCGTGTTAGGGTTGGTGTCTCCCCTTGTTTCCTTTCTTTAGCGTTAAGCTGTGTATAGGATGGAGATGAGCCCAGAGCCCCATTTCAGCAGCCCCGTGGCCTGTGGGCATTCCAGAGTGCTGAGGGTTAAAATTGCCTCTGCAGTCCTGCAGCGGGAGAAGAGCCGGAGCCGGCTGTCCCTGTCCCCTGAGCAGGGGCCAAGCGGGCAGCACCCGCCGGCCCGCTGTGAGGAGAGGGGGCTGGCACTGCCAAAAAGCCGCTGCACCATCTCCAGGCTCCCGCTCACTCGCTCGCTCCTCATCTCGCTTCGCCTCCCACCCGCTTCCTGCAGCCTCTCCCTCAAGCGAAACAGCAGCAGGGCCAGACCTGCTGCCCGCCCCATGCCACCGAAACCACACAGACTGTGCAGCTCCCCGCCAGCGGGAGAAGAAAGTTTCCACATGCTCCCGGAGTAACACGCAGGGGGTCAGGGAGTGCACGCCGGCAAGGGCCACGCACCACAAAGCAACTAGTTTTTGGGACTCTGACATTTATCCGAAAGTTTATCAGACATTTTGTATCCTCTGCCCACCAACACCCCAAACTTCTCTGTTGGCGTGCGGACGGGGCAGAGGAGAGCAGAGGGGATGCAAACCAAGGCTGGAGAGCGCTAGAAGACCTCATGGTTGAGGATGGGGCTGAAGGTGAGGGTGAAGCCAGCACCGAGGGCCACGACGAGGCTGGGCCAAGGACGGGCTGGGCTGGAGCAGCAGTTCCTGCCGTGGCTCCACGCAGAGGTGTGCCTGCCCACACAATCTTGTGCAAGAGCGAGCAGCAGCGCTCATCGACGTGGCCGGGTCCCATCTGACTCTCCTGGAAAGCCTACAGGGTAGGCATTGCCTAAAAATGCCTAAAGGATGTGGGAGAAACAGTAAGGGCCCCAGGATGGGGACAGAAACTCTTGGCAGCACTCGGCGTGATCCGCATGACCCCAGCATTCTTAGGTGTAAACAGCATATAGCACTGGGAATAAATATTTACAAAAAAACAAGCTACGTTAGCGGAGCTGGGAGAGCTTTGGGCCAGGTACTGCAGGAGGCACTGCTAATTGCAGCACCTTGATAGGACTCCAGCGTGTCTGGAAAAAAGTACTGGAACAACACGTGTACTGCCAGCCGGGGTGAACAGCTCAGGACTTCTCAGTCAGGGGGACAGCCTGGGTGCCAAACAGGACGCCATGGAGTGAGAGCCCAGGGCACCAGCAGAAACACATGAAGAAAGAGACACAATCTAATGAATCGCCAAAAGATGCAGCGGAGGCTCAAAAGGTTCAGAAGGCCTGAGCATTTATATATAAACGTTTTATGTATAAACGCTTATATATATTTCTTTATAACAGGAACATCCCCACAGACGTGATTTGGGTGTTCTCAAAGGGCTTATAGGGACAGTGGGGCAGGATATAACTTTTCTGTCCGCAGAAATATTCTGTGATTTTGAAATATATTTTTCACATTCCTTATCAAGATGAAAAAACAAATCCACTTTCTTTTTTTAAATTAAAAAAAGAAAAAAAAAAAAAGAAAAATAGAGAACTTCTACAGTATTTCGTTCCAGAAACAAAATGTTGTGCTTCCAAAACAAAATGCTCTCTCTACTGGCAGGCCGCACCTGAGCTGGGGAATGTGTCAGCCCTCTTAGTTGATCTTTGGCTTTGGTTTGAAAAGGTATAGCTTTGGAACAGGTTGGGGCATTCTCCTTTGATTAAATTGAGTCTGGTCAGTGCTGCTGTAGCTATTCAGAAGCCCACAAAAGAGCCCATCAGCAATGATAAAGTCTCAGCCTTGCAGCCATCGGGGCCTCCAAGACCCATTGGCTCCACAGCAACAAGCCCAGTGAACTGCTGAGATTTCAGGAGAGCCTAAATCTGTGCTCATCCTCTGTAGGGGAGAGGAGCACTGGGAACTGTGACTGCCAGTCAGGTGAGTGAGCTAATGAAGACAGCCAATACGGAAGCATCCTATGTCTGATTTTTCTGTTGAGCTGATGAATTCTGGAGGGGATGGGAAAAATTTTATTTGGGAAGTTTCCAACCGGCTCTTGAATATGCCTTCAAATAGCCAGGCTTATGTCACGCCCTATGTGCTGGGTGATGAAGAAAAGCCTGCCTTCTGGAAGTAGGTCGCTCAAGTTTCCATGTTTCTCAAGGCTTCTCAACCAAAGAGAGGAGATCATGGCTGAGCAGGGTCTGCAGGCATGGTATGACACAGGAAATATCCACAGGAGGAAGTGGCACTGCTGGGCAGGAGTGGTAAGAAATGGAGCGCTCTGCCCACCAACACCCCAAATTTACTGGAAGGCCAGAGGAACTGCTCTGCCCCCCTTCCTCTCCCCACCCCACTTGCATGCCCCAGCACAGCATCTGCTTCCAGTCCCTGTATGGAGTAGTGACAAAGTGCTGCGTGGCTTCCTCAACCCCATCCACACTATTGCCATGACCCTTGCACACATCTGGGTGTGCAAACTCTTGGGCCAGAGGACACCCCTGAGAAGGAGGCCAAGTGCCAGGGTGAGGGCTGCAGGAAGCTGATTATTACCACAGGGTTGTACTCTGTCACCAGGTGGAGCTTGTTCATCTGAATGAAACGAGTCATCTTCTCAGCATCAACATCTTTGCTGTTCATATCCAGATCCCTCCGGTCATTGTCTACCTGAAGACATGCAAAGACACCTACAGTCACAGCTCTCCTCTCAACACCTCCTCCAGAGGCACTGATGGCATGCAGTCACGGAGACACCCACCCCCGGGGACACCGCCATCCTCTCCCCACCACCACATAATCCCCACTTCTGTAGGTCCAGAACCTACAGATACCAGCCTGCTCTTTGAGATAAGGATCTTCCACCCTCCTTCAGTCTCCCAAGGACAAGGCAAACTCAAAGCATAACTGAAATCACCGAGCACCCAGACATCCCTACAGTATCAGCTCCCGGTGCACTGGAAACAGGGAGTATTCGCTGACAAACTATTCTAGATATTGTGGGGAGAGATCATTAAGCCTATCTCCTCGCATCGATTTTGGCTTTACATCCCTTTTTAAAATCTTCATCTGCTTATTCTGTTTATTCTACCAGTAATAAACATTGGCATGAGCCTGTATGGATTTCCTGGAAACATTGTGCAAGCAGGAAATCACTCCAATAAAAAGAGGATTTTTTTCCCAGTACAGCAGAAAAAGTTAAAAAAAAAATCAAGCCCAGCACATTTTAACTTTAAAGGAAAATCCACCCTGCCACACATCCCCCCACCCAAATGGTGTGATTTTATTGAGGTTTTCATGACCTGGTAAACAGAGAAAAAGCAGGCAACCATTGAATAATAGCTAAACCACCCAAAAGGGCAGAGTTGCTGTGCAGTAACCACCATAGGATGTGACTGAGTTGAGCCATGGGGACACTGGGCTCTGACATGCAGTAGGATCAAAGTTTGGGATTTGAAGGCCTTTGATACATATGTTGAATGAGGTTCTCAGGGCTGAGGAAAGGTCCACATGCACACCCTAGATTTTATTCTCTGCATCTGTACAACCTCTGAAAGAGCTGGTGTTATTTTTTCCAGTGGTGTACAGACATCTAAAGCCCTTTTTGCTGTTCTGTGGTCATTGGCAAGGTCTTTGATCTGGTAGGGAGCCACAGCGCCCTGTCTGGCAACCCAAACTGGTGCTTTTCAGGCTGTGCAGCCTGATTCCTCTCACAGATTTGCTCTTGCATAAAATGAAAGGGCAGTTCTACCCAAGTAAATGGAATCAGGGCAGTGCAACACCTGGGCGGGTGAGATCAGACGGGCCAATCTAAAGCACCCCAGACTCCACACAAAGTCTGTTCTTGTCTTTCATGGGCTTCTGGAAATACCTGATTTCCATTTTGGGATAATAATATCCTAAATCTGTGCTCAACATTTATGATTTCAAGAAAGTAAGGCTGAAAAATATCCTGCATCTGATAGCTGAAGCTCTGATCAAAGTGTCTTCATCACTCCACATAATTAGATTAGCGTCTGTTAATTATGTTCTTTTTAGGTCTATCAGGCCAGATTCCTCACTAGAATAAATCAGTTTTCCTCCACTATATGCAAAGAAGTCTCACCAGTTGACAGCAGCCCCTCCTACTGCTATAATTATGGTTTAAACTTTTAAGCATTATATGTGTTTCACACTCTGCAAAAGCAAAGGAAAATGAGTTTATGCCTCTGATTCACTGCTGTCCTGGTCACACATCTTTGCATTCTTCAAATGAGCATTTGATTCCAACTCCTATCTCAGTTCTTTTTTCTTTTCCTTTTTAGCTCTGACCCCTTACTCCTACACAGTATTCAGCATAGAATAAAAGGAAAAATAAGGTGTCTGAATAATTTAAGAAAAACTGATAATTAGACAAGGGAATTGTCAACCACATTTGAACCTGACTAGGGTATTTGTTTCATGCTTTTTTTTTTTTCCTATTAAACAGGAATTCAGCTGCAAAAACTGGACTGTGAACAAAGAAGATTCAATATAATCCAAATTCCAAGAATCCAGACACTTTCTTTTATCAAACATCCTTCCAATGCAGTCATCCTCACTATCTGCCACAGCACAAAAACAAAGGACCTTTTCAATATTTTTGGAAGAAAACCACCATGACTAAGAACCAAAACTGTTGCTTCAAATTGCAACATCTGCACATAGCAAATAAAAGGTTAAATAAAAGGACCTGCCTACCTATTGCTCACTCTTAGATCATTCACTTTGAATTATTTGGATAATGCCAGTGGTAAACACAGTGCAGGAAATGATGAGGAAAAAAAGGGGAACAAACTGGCTTTGTCCAATCCTTGTACAACCTGGACCTAGAACTTGGCCAAGCTGCAGCATTTAGTTTCTCTAGTGCATGTAGTCACCCCATGTGCTTAGAGCTCTGGTGACACAACACTTCACTGGCTTTTAGGACATCTTGTACTACCTAGGGCCCCTCTCTTCCTCAGATACACCTCTCTCCCCAGTTTTCAAGTGCCATACTTGTGTGAGAAGGGACAACACGAGGAAATTGATGTAACTGGTAGAATACTTGCTCTTAGCTTTTGTTGGTACTCTTTAAGCAAGTACACGGCCTTTCTCAATATTGTCTTCTTAAACTTCAGCAAGCGTAGCTTCAGATTCAGAGTGAGGCACCAGCACTTAACAGCTGGAGCCAACAAACATTTGAGCTTGCACAGCATCCATCCCTAAGAAACTGCAAAGTAACATTTTTAATGGGTCCACGCCCAAGGCCTACTTAGGGAGTAATTCTGCAAACCACAGTGTAGGACCTAAAACAGAAGAGAGTGTTTGGGATTCCTCTTGGTGGCAGAGTATCTGTAACTGGAGAGACCTGGCCTGGATCTGGTTGCAGTCACGACCGAAGAGTTGTGCGCCCAGGGAGACAGCTTTGCCTGCCTGAAGTGACACTTGGCAAGATTTGATATCAAGCCTGCTGTGTTGATCCATTGTAACATGGCCTCTAGATGCTTTTCATGTGTCTCAGGAGCCTTTCCAAAACCACAGAAACCCCATCCAAGTAACATTGAGCTCCAGGCAGGTCACTTGGAAACACAGACATCGTTCTTTGCAAAGCACTGGGTGCTGGACCAGATCCATAGGGCATTTTAAGTGTTTCTTAAAATGGAGAATCTCATCAGGTGTAATAAATGTTGCATGTCTCAGCGATGGGCTCTCTGCAAGTGAAAAGCAAGAAATACCTCTTTGGGACGGGCAGCTCTACAGATGTGCTTTTAGGTGGGCAGGCAGTGACTGTCAATGAAAAGCTTTTTTTTTTGGCTTGCTCTAAGGAAAGATGAGTTGCTTCAATCTTCTTCTTTATCACTACTACCCGGAGATGTCACTTCTGTACCGTGGCTGTGGGCAGTTTTTAAGCAGTTGCCCGAGTCGCCCCTCTCACCAGCGGGCAGGGGAACTCCGACACCGGGGCGTCGGTGTTGCAGGTAGCGCCTTTCGCACGGCGTCGTGTGCGCCCGGGAGGAGCTGCTCGGGGGCAGC